CCTGTTCCTCGGCATTCAGATCGACAAATGGATGCAACCACACAACTACAAGAAGGCTACCGTTGCTCGTCATAGTGCCAGACCCCGAGTAACTGTATTGTAGATCAGTGCTGGGACACAAACAATACTGAGACCTGGGTTCAATCGCCCCATTCGCCCGTCATAAAGCCATGCGATTACAACTGTTCTATTCAGTAGAGAGTACTCTCCGACGGCAGACGCTACAATGTTTTGTCATTTGCCGAAATTGGCAACAACAGCAATTTACCCACACTTGTTGAAAAATCGAAGGTACCAGAGGTCCAAAGGCCCTCGGGGCACTGGGAGCGGGTCATTGGTGAAGGAGGGATTTACTCATCCTAAAGCTAAAATATCACTTTTCTATCTATTCTCCTCTTTGTTTTATTCAAAAAAACCAGCGGCCACTTTGAATGGGATGACCTAATAGAAAAGACTTTGGAGAAGTGGTGAAAGTTGCCATAACTCAGGGAGGTGGTCGGCAGGCTGTGATGTCGTACATACAGGGAGAGGTGGGAAGGTTTGCGGGTAGTACCAGATGAGGAAATTTAACGAATGGGGTAGGGGACGGGTCGTACGGACACCGCCATTTCATGCTTCACGATGCTGAGAAACACATAGATGGGTCTATCACCATAACTTTGAATATCCATTTGGTCATTAGGATTGGGGTATCTCGTACTATGGAGGGTGGGGCTTGCCACGAGTCTTGCAGACGACTTTGTTTTTGTGCAACCCGTATGCTATTCTTGGCATTCTTTACATGAACGACTAATTCGTACTCGATTTCCATTGTCATCGCTGTTTTCGAATAGCAAGCAGATATAACGGGTTTAATGACCGATGTTAGATTGTTCTTAATTTAGTCCCTTTCTGACCATGAAGCAACTTGAAATCATCTGAAAGAGTCCACAGAAGTAGACGATTGCTGTGGCGGATCACCTCGCTTGATCCCACCTTATACGAAGCAAAATAATTTCTTTATAGCGGAGCATCGTTCTCTGAAATGTGCATAGATGCACAGATCCTCAAATATTTGTTTACCCTCGTTGCAGCTTTGCTCTTTGGGCCAAAAAAGAAAAAAACGTCTTTGAAAACGTTCCGTTTCGTTGACATGCGGTGGTGCTGGTGAGGAGCACGTGGCCAGCAGGGCGTGTCGATTGAGTACCGCCCTTTCTCCGTTGTGACGCAAAATCATTGCGCCCTGCGAGGACCAAGGCCCGTTGAGGGTTCAT